TGCCACAAAAAAGCACGAAGCGCTAATAAAAGTAATGTAACAGCTTGTTTCGCTGAGTACTTTAAAACCAAAAATTTTCCCTTTGATGCTACTTTCCATGCTGGAAACCACTTTAGCTGACAATCAAACAAGGTATGTGCACAATAAAGAACGATTTTTTAAACTCGAATCTTAAATCACTTCATATCCAGTTCCACTACCCGAAGTCTGACGTTGCTGTTACCCAAGAAACCAAATTGGATAAATGCCAATTTCATTTTTCGAAGTGAATCAACCCCATCTGTCAAAATGTCAGATCCCGCAAAACGTCCCCTGACTTTTGCCCCATGGCACATACCTTACTTGGAGAAACATAGGATATTCGAACTGTTCCACGAGATCGCAAGGGAAATGGTGATACAGAAACCTGCAGATCATGTGACGTTCATGAAACAAATCCTACAGAACGCGGCAAAATCCAAAGACGTGGCAAGGGTCATATTCCTCCAGTCCCCCAAGATCAACTGCGTGGAAATAGCAAACGAAATGGCGGCCATCACGAAACAGGTCGTGATAACCGAGAGTACCTTAATGAACTGTCTCAACAACAACATATCCGCTTGTTCGCCCAAGTTAATAGCGAAATGTTTGGCTTTCTTGGTCAGATCTGAACGCACTTACCAAGTGGGATGGATAATGGTGGACTGCGTCAAAACTGAAGCTGCAGCCAATGAATTGCTGCAGCTTGGAGTGATTCCAACTCATGTATTCCATTTAATAGCCCCCTTCCACCCTGATTTGTCCCAATTAATTTACTGTCACGTGCTTCGAGAATGGCCGGAATACAGAAGGAACGTTATGGCAATTCGTCACGTCTTCAGAAAGGTGCTCAAGGAAATCTATTTGAATAAAAGGAGTATCACAGACGTTGTGAACGAATGCGTGGATATGTCGAAAGTAAGAAAGAACGTCAAGCCAATGAAACCAAGACTGATTATTATAGGTCCCAGGGGATCTGGACGCAAGACGCAAGCAAAACTCCTAGTGAAGAATTTAAAACTTGTCCACGTAGACTTTGAAAGGCTCATATGCAAGGTGTGGATGTCGGAAACCGAGCTTGGCCAAAAACTGCGCGCTTGCAGAAACGAGGCCTGTTTCCACTCCGAACTTCTTTCCCAAATCGTCAACAAAAGAATACTCGAAGAGGACTGCTTAAACAACGGCTGGGTGTTAACAGGTTTCCCGTACACTGACACAGATCTAAGATTCCTTGACGGTCTAGACACCCCACCCAATCGCATCGTATTTCTGGAATGTGACTTAACCGTGTGCAGAGAGAGACTGCGTCAGAGAAGGATAAACGTCTTTACAGGAAGCGTGACTAACCTAAAAGACCAACCACTAGCGGAACAAGAGAAAACGCTTAAGGTTCACCCAAAGGACGAGCAGGAGGTGATAGAATCCGAACAAAATTACTACTGTCAGAACTACGGTTCTATGAGGAAATACTGCGGTGAAACGGCGAATCTTGTCAACGCTGATCAAGACGAGAGGTGGGTATACGAGTGCATTACAGGGATTCTAATTGGAGCACCACCGCCTGTACCTCCTAGAAAAGGAATAGACAATATTACTCTACTAAGTTCATCGTCGGGTTCCTACGATTGCGACTGTATCTCGGTTCCATCCAAATTGTTGGATGGTTACATGGTTCAGATAAAAAAAGAGTGAAAACTAAGACACCAAATTTTTGTCACCATCGCCTTTGTTTATGTATTTTTAATTGATATATATATATATATA